ATGACTCTAAGAAATACGATGTAAACTGTGCAGCAACACCTTCGAGGCAAGAATATAAGTAATCTGGCAGACAACCGTTTATGATATCAAAGTGTTGTAAGTTTATCAATGGCGATGGATACTTTACACCATTTTTCTTGGTTGTTGGTGTATCCATCATTACTTTTACGGTATCATCATGTGTTCGAGCATTAGGTGGCGGAAATTGGTTTATGTATCGCATACTGCCCTCTTCGTAAACTCCAGGATGCAGACAAAAGTTGCATCCAAAATGGCCGTTGAACTGCTTAATCCCTTGGATGGGAGCGCGTGCGACGGCATCTGCACAACAAGAAAGTACATGTAACTTTAATCTTCGTTCAACTCCTTTTACGATACAAGATATTCCTTCTTTTTGAATGTTATTAATAAGATCTACAAATTTATGTATGTACACAGTCATTTCGGGTTTCTTCTTGTTGAACCATAATCCACAAGTGACTAATTTGTTCATTCGGTCTTGAGCAGGTAATTCATTTATTTGTAGGTATATAGGCCATATTGAAAATTGCGATGATTTGAACTTTGGAGCCTCATCAGTGTTAAAAACTGTACTTACGTAATTGTACCTATCAGCGCTCGGTAATGATCTGAGAAATTTTTTGTACTCTTTACCGTCATATATGTCTTTTATAACATTTTTTTCGCCCGTTCGTTCTTTTACAACATAATCGTAATAATCTTCGTGTATGTTCAGTAAATCAGCAATTTGAGTACTTGGATTGATTAGAATAAAGTAGCTTGGGTCACTGGGATTTGAGAAATTTACCACTTTATGACAAATATCACATCGTTTCTTTAATTGTGCTGTACGAAGTTCGCCGCCATATGCTGAACAGTTTGGACAGATAGCATGATACTCTACATCACTCGCAGGATTTACTAACTTTTCAATAATGTATTTGGATTCTGGCAAAATTGGCGTTTGAAATATTGTATTAATTAACTGAAACAAATTGTTCATAGCTGTTGCTGATAAAGAATTCATCACAGAAAATTTGATCAGCATTAAGAATATTTCGCCCACACTTTTATCGACTGGTATTTTTACGTTTTCGTTAAAAGTATCACTTTGGACAAAATCTTGTAAAGTATTCGGACAGCAGTTATCAAATATATTTTTATTACGACAATTTTGTGCCAAATCTTCAGCCCAGTCATATTGATGTTCTTCATCCACATATCCACCCTGAAATGTGATTGGTTCAAAAGCATTGTATATGATAATAACATTTTCTATCGATCACTCAAATTCGTATCTTATCACTTTAGTTACATTGAGTAGTAGAAAATTATATATAATTTATACGAACATTACGCGGGGGCTCCTCCAAAGCGTCTGCAATTGTTTCGTAGTCCATAACCTCGCTGCAGTGGTCATCGCCAGTGTCTTCGTGGATCTGTTGGTAGACGTAACAGACAAGCGATGTAAATTGTAACAATAATTGTTAAGCCCTTCCCCCCAAAAATATAACAGTTCATACAAATGTAAATTTTTCATTTAATAGTATTACAGTTTCTATTTAGTCAATATATTGCATTCTACATTTACTTTACATTACTTTTTCAATAAGTCACGTTATTACACATTTCAGAAAAGTGCATTGAAGGTATTACTGGCACAAGTAATTGATGAAAATAAATAAAAAAAGTAACCTAATAAAAAAAAATTATAAAAGAGATGTGCCTGTTTTGAAATATTTTTGATGATCACTCCCGTGGGTGTAGGCAGGGCTGCCAGATTGGGTGGTTTCCGCCAACAGGGCGGTTTGTAAGGTAAAATTGTGTGGAAAAATTGTGGTATGCGGTATTCGGCGTTTTCGGCGATGTGACAAAGACTTAGCTGAAAAAAATTTTGATTTTTCCTTTTTATTCCAATCAATAAATTATTGCAGTTGCCAATAACTTATTCATATTTTAATTAATAAGTGTGATTTTGTAATTTTATTAATGATATTTTTTATAATACATAAACTTAATACCATGTAAGAATGAATGTTAAAATACATTATAAGTTAATAAAGAAAAAAATTACTGATTATCCAATCTTCTACTCTCATTGGAGGCAAGTCAATATATACTTAAAATAAAACGTACATAAATACACCCAGTGCCTTCACCGGGTAAAGATGAATATACTTTAGATTCCAAATAGAACTACGTACGAAAACGGTAATGCACGGAGTAGTCTACAATCCTCATTACAATCCATCACAGCTTCATATTTTTCCAAAAATAGTGTAAAGATTTCCCATGAATCAACTCACGGACCCTCGGAAAGCAAATGTCGTAGGCACCTCAGAAGTGATTCTTCTGACTCAGAAAATTCTGTTCATCAGAAAAAAATTGTAAGGCGTCTGAGAAGTATTTCACCCTCTTCGAGGGAATCTAGTCGCTCACCTCCATTGAAAAAACTTGGGTTCTTAAACAGAAATTCAACCTCTTTGCATAAATTGAATCACTTGCCTCCTGTAGTACCTATGCCAAGTGATCCGCTATCTTCATGGAAATCAAACCAGCCTTTTCCGCGTGGATCTCGGCGTTCACGAAGTAACTCGCGATCTTCGCACGGATCAAGGCAGTCACTCCCGCCGCGTGGATCTCGGCGTTCACGAAGCAACTCGCGATCTTCGCACGGATCAAGGCAGTCACCCCCTCCACATGCATCTCCGCAGCACCTGCTCATATCAGAAGATGAAGCAGATGGAGATAATGAGGGTAAGGTTTGACCTATACCTTATGCAGTAATGTGTTATCTAATTGAATTTTTTGTTTTCAATGACACTCGATATTTTCTACAGCACCTAATGGCAACGAATATTTTTGATTAATCAAACGCTACAAGCCTCGGCTCTACAAAGTGTACAAAAAGAAATGTCTTCTAGTTTCACCAGGTACAAATAGTAAATATATCTTTTATAATGCCCGTCATAAATAGTGTGTGCCGAATAAGTACGATCGTGATGTAATAAAAATCTGTGTAAAAAGCAATCTGTTTCAGTTTTAAAATATTAAAATTTCTATATGTTTATATTGCATTACAGATCGTGAAGAACCGTACGAACGATACCAAGATGTTGGAAATGAAGTAAGTATATTTGACTATGTTCGATGATACTTACTAAAAAAAATGTAATGGAAATTTTTTTTACAGGTGTATTTAGGATTGAATATACTTGTTGGACAAAAATCCTGGAGATTATCTAACAGAAAATGTCACAAAAAATTTATCCGGGAAGTACTATATTATATTTTCAAAAAAAAAATCACGTACATTTGCTTGGATGAAAGAAAAATATCGATAAAGCGAATAGGTGATCGCCATGTTCAGCTTTGCTGTCCCAAAAAATTAGAATTATTTCTTAGTACGTATACAAAAAAAACCTTGTTTGTCAGCTTTTAACCTATAACATAAGTACCTGAGGTTTCGAGAATATATAACAACTATGATTTAGCATAAGTATGTCAAACAATTTAGACGAGAAAAAATAAAATTCAGAGTTTAGCGCGTGAAGCGTGGAGGCAGCAGAGCCCCCAAGTATAATAAAAATCAATTGAGACTAAATCTTGTAACAACTAGATAAAAGATCTATTTTAGTTCTTGAAACGTCTGAAAAATTTTATTTCAGTAGATAGGCAAGACCTAATTGCAAATATTGTGCTAATTTACAGGTACCTACAGATATTATTTAGATCATGATAATAGATACAAGAATAAAACTGAAGATGAAAAAGATGTAATGATAAAAGATTGTACAGAAAAATTAAGTACTTATTTGAGAGATGTAAAAAGACGTAAGCGGCAGGAGTTAAGAGAAAACAGAATACAACAACGACGGATATCCTAGTAAATACAGGAAAATTAAAATTTCATAACTTATTTAAAGAATGTCCAACATAATGTACGATCAGTCAAAATAAACAATTTTTGATTATGTTAAAGAGAGAGGTACGTCTTGTCCATGCATTACATTTTTTCGTCAGTGGGACTTGTACTTATTATCGGTAAAAATCGCAAAAACGTCCACTTTGCCGCGTGTCTAAATCGACTCAAAAAACTTCAAACTGCATAATTTTACTGTCCAAAAAATACATTTTTTCCCAGTGGAACTTGTTCTTTTTTTCATTAGTGGGACTTTTATTCTTTTTCGTCAGTGGGACTTGTACTTATTATCGGTAAAAATCGCAAAAACATTCACTTTGCCGCGTGTCTAAATCGACTCAAAAACCTTTAAACTGCATAATTTTACTGTCCAGAGAATACATTTTTTCCCATTGTAACTTGTACTTTTTTTTATTAGTCGGACTTGTATTTTTTTTCGTCAGTGGGACTTGTAATTTTTTGGTAAAAATCGCAAAAACGTCCACTTTGCCGCGTGTTTAAATCGACTCAAAAACCTTTAAACTTCATAATTTTACTGTCCAAAAAACATATTTTTTCCCATTGGAAATTGTACTTTTTTTCATTAGTTGGACTTGTATTTTTTTTCGTCAGTAGGACTTGTAATTTTTATCGGTAAAAATCGCAAAAATGTCTACTTTGCTGAGTGTCTAAATCGACTCAAAAACCTTTAAACTGCATAATTTTACTGTCCAAAAAACATATTTTTTCTCATTGAACATTGTACTTTTTTTTATTAGTGAGACTTGTATTTTTTTTTTTGTCAGTGGGACTTGTAATTTTTTGGTAAAATCCGCAAAAACGTCATCTTTGCCACTCGTCCTAATCGACTTAAGAACCTTTAAACTGCATAATTTTACTGTCAAAAAAAAACATATTTTTTTCCCATTGGAACTTTTTTTTTTGTCAGTCGGACATTCCTCACATTATTTCTCAGGTGAGATTTTGAGATGAGATCTCACCTGAGAAATCACCTGAGATCTCACCTGAGAAATTTTAGTAGGGTGCAGCAGATCGTTAATGATTGGAAGGGGGTAGTGGTCCAGAGTAGTACAGGCGTTCAGACGCCGGTAGTCTCCAGTGACTCTCCAGTCCAATGGCAGTTGGTGGTAGTGGTGTGGTGCACTGGCAGGTCAGAAAGCGCTGCCATGGTAGCCTCTGGAGAGCAAACCTCAGCGTACTCCGCGAGGAGGTCCGAGAAGCGGCATCCCAGGTCTCCAGGAGGAGCCTGTGCTAGAGTCGTCACCACTGACACGCTGTGCACTGATGCAGGAGCCAGGGAGCCAAGCGATAAAAGCTTGGTCGTTGGGTTGATGAGACGCTTACCTGATGACCTGGGTATCGACAACGGTGAAGCACCACGTCACTGCTCGTCGGAGACTTAGCTCTATTGACAGGATGTGGGTGCCGTATGTGACTATCGGCGGGCGTTGGCAGCCGTGAACGTTAACGGCTGACGTTGTAGTTCCCGATCCTTGATGAGGTGCCTGGGAAGAAGCGAGATGACGGACCCGGAGTCGACCAGGAAATTTACCCGGGACATTCGGTCGAAGATATGAAAGCGTTTCTCCGAGAGTTCAGATTGGTCCGCCTTCGTCCCAAGTGGTGGAACAGGTTTTCCGAACCCACCAAACCAACGGTGCACGGTGGACAGCACTTCTTTGCGGCTGCCCCAAACCACTGGTGGAACCAGCACCAGTCTTGGTTTGCAACGTTGTTGGCTGCCTGGTTAACTCTTCCTCTAGAGCGTGACCTGGATCGGTTCCGGCCGCAAGGCTATTTCTTGTCTGAGAGCAGCTGGTTGAGCATCTGACGTAGTTCAGTGACCTCTTGTGCAAGACTGGAGTTGGCTGGCTGTACGGGCGCCGTTGGAGTAGCCACGGCGTTGACGTTAGGCAGAAAGGCTATGAGCTCGTCTGCCATGCTGCTAAGCTCATCAAGGAAAGCCGTCTTCATGATACGGAGGATACCATTGACCTATGAAGAGAGAATATTGAGCCATTTAATCTTCAATATCTTGTCCGTGACCTTGCCGGCAGCGAGACTCTTCATTTGGCGGAGGAGCTGCGAAGGTTTAAAGTCTGTTAGTTGAAGCTGTCCAAAAAGTTTACGTATCTGGGCATCGGCTGAGTCCTGGAAACGGGACAGAATTGCGTCCTTGATCGCCTTGAACTGGCCCGTCGCTGGAGGGTTGGCGATAATGTCCGACAGCTCCGACACCACGTGACCCAAGAGCGCACTGACGAGAGCGATGTACCATTGCGAGTCGTCCGTGGTACCGTTGGTGTCAAGGATAATTTCCACTTGTGCGACCCAGGCTGCAGTCGCTTCGGCCCAGAAGCGAAGAATCTTGGAGTCAGCCATGATCCTGGTCGTATGTGGCTGCTGCTGGTTGCCCGCGCTGGCAGAGGTTGAATTTCGTTGTTGCGTTTGCTCAGCGGACCCATCGGCACACACGTATTGGCCTGTCACCGTCGGAGGGGTTAGCACACCTTTAGCTGCTGTCACAGCACGGAGGTCATGCTGTAATTGTTCCTCCTCCTTTATCTGCTGTCTGCGTTAGTAACGCTGCTCGCACATCATCGTCGTCTCCTCGTCCGAGTCCTCCAGAGCAGAGAGAGAGGAGGCGCCTATACCTGCAACGTGTATCACGAGAGGCGAGACGCGTTGATACCGCGGTACGCAAGAGCGAGAGAGAGAGAGAGAGAGCGCACTACACTCAGCACTAACACATGCGCGCGCGTTGCATTTAGGGGGGGGGAGGAAAAATGTAGTCTTCGTGTAACCCAAACAGAAAATGGCGGGCCCGCACGCGTGCTTGCCTTTGTATCACCTGCTTAGCGTAACATGGCTGGACTGGTAGACAAAAACATTGTTCATGCAGAACTCAAATTTTTGTACAGCAACGTAGTGATTCACGTGAGGAGAGAGAGAAAGAGCAGGTATGCACGCGTCACCTGCTGCGGCCAAGGCACTCGGGAAAAAATCGTTGGCCGAAACGGCGGCGTCCTCGACGGAGAACTTGGTGGCCAGAATGCACGACCTGATCGGCAGGTCACGAGAAACGCGAGAAAGCGCGCGAGGCGTGGTGAGAAAGGTGGCCAGGTGAGCCGTGCTCGAACCGTGGCTTTCTGCTCACGCACCTTTCTCTATCGAAGTCTTTTATTTTATTTTTTATTATTTTGCACTGCACTTTCACTCGATACTGCACTGGCACTGCTTATCTCGTGTAATGTCGACGATGCATCCTGACAGGATCGCCACTTTGGGGAAGTCACGAGTGAGCCTGTCTCTGGTGCTTAAGGATGCCGGAGGTAGAATGCCAGGTCGTGGAAGAAAGAACTTATCACGTATTAAAATTTACAATTTATGAATACAAAACAAATCATTGTGTAGAGAAAGAGTACAACAACATTGAAAGCGTCTCAAATCGTTGACCGTACAAGTGAGGCACGTGCCTACGTTGTCACTGGTCGAAACGCGAGGCGAGAGTGAGAGCGAGCTACGCTCTCTTCGTCGCCACCTAAAAGTAGGCACTGCCGAGGAGAGCGGGAGCTCGAGCTGTTGACGGCCTTCTCTGCTTGAACGCGCTACCACAGCGCTCGTGGGATGAGCTGTTGCTTGTGGGGCGAAGCTGGTTTTTGGCTTTAGCTGGCTGGTGCCACCACACACATATATATTTTACAGGGAATTTGTATGTAACGAAAAGAAAATTAAAATAAAAATTTTTTTGTGTACAGATATTTTTTTTCTTTAAGAATACAGATACCTACTAAAGTGTTATATAAATATTTCAATATAAAAAAGATCTGCAGTGACTGTGAATTAAACCTCCGTCTTTTGTAGATTTTCTGTAAACTACGCTGTTAACAACGGAAAATCAGTTGATTTAAAATTAAATGTCTGCACGTATCAATTTTTAACTATTATAAATCAAAGTATATGTTTCTTATCATTATTACTTTAATAACCTCTAGTTAACAACTAATAATTATAACCTTTAATTTGGAAATTAATAGTTATTTATAGCTATAGATGTTGTACAAAATTACTTTCGAGCATAGTAATTTTTACTGTGCTGAATAGCAATGCAGTACCATGTTGTATAGCAAAAATTGTGCTATCACAATTTTTTCTATGTTAGTCATAGACATTTTTATTATGCTGCGTTATTATTTTTGTACGGCTGCTACACAATAATATTTATTTTAAGTATAATAAACATTATTTTAAACGTAACAATTGGCGTCATTAGAGGAGTATGTCATAGCTTTTCTGAAAAATATAGAAATTCTTATGAGAGTTCTTATCCTTTTTTTAACGTCACTTTTATCAGTGCAATCAAATTAGGAAATTTAACATTTGTGACCATCACTGATGGCGAAGAAGATTGTCAAAAAATCTAAAAAAATTACTAAATAGTTTTCTTATGGAGTACTACATATTTTTAAAATTTGTAGGGCTATATAGAGCGCCAAACTGTTCAGTAGCTCAGGTTACCAGAATGTCTTAAGCCACCCCTAATTCCGAGGTAACATAAAAGTTAGGGGTGATTTATGTTTTTAAACGTCTACATTATGAAAAAAAATGAAATTTTTTCTCAATCCAGTGCGATTCAACCAACTTCCAACATTTTCAGTGTACTCCAGCTTTTTCACTTTAGAAAATAAATATTCAAGATCTTTAAAGAGGTGAAAAAGAATATAAAAGTACAAATAAGTTCAAACAGCAGTATACAAATAAGTTCACAATAACAGTGTCACAAGCCCTGAAATGCTTGAACACAATTTTTCCCTTATTCCTGAGAGTATTCGCACTTACAGGCAAGCTCATATACAACCTCTGGTGAAAACAACCCGAAGCCCGTATCGACTGAAAATTAAAAATAACACATGTACTAACACCTTGTTTTGTCGACTACACACAAACTATGTCCTTTTTTAGTTGGAATTTCACTATCAAATTAAGCTTTAGTACAAATCTATCAATTAAACACAAAGTTCAGTTTGAAGAGGTCCTGTTAGAGTTTCTCTACTATTTTTTTTGTTGGTCGGGTACTCGCTCGCATATGTAAAGGTGTGTACATATAGTAGATCTATATAGTTTATACACATATGTATGTATACATGATACTGCTAATACTGTTGTTTTCATAAAAAATAATTAAACGTGTAGGGATCAAATAAAACATTTGACAGCTTTGACAGTTGTATGAAAACATGAATAATTTAGCAAGCTTAAGTAAAAAATTAAAGTACGTAGGTAACAGAGAACGGGCTTATGTCGAAGGTGAAAATGTATTGAAGGCTATAGTCATCTTGTCCTATGTGTTATGACGAAAGAAAATAATGAAAAAATAAAAATATTTTCTTTGTGTTTGAAAAGTAGTAAGAAATTAAAATAAGTGTACAGTCCTTCAAACGATTTGTTATGAAAACAACAGCCTCTACAGTATCATATCTTCCTATATTATACAGTCGTAAGAGTAAGAGCGAGGTTTTGCTCCCTCCCAACTCCCCCCAGATTAAGTTATCCTGAATAAGATGCAACTATTTTTTTCCAAACAAATGGCTAGCTTTTTAAAATTAAATTGTCGATTTATCATGAGGTTAGTTTGACAGGTGGCATGAACCATTACAACCTTATAATGTATATACACACACATGTATATGTATATTTTTTGTTTTTGACTCTTGATCACCGTTTGCATCCGCTGGAAAAGAGCACGTGATAAATTCTTAATGAAGCAAAAGTCAACAGAGGGGTTAGGCTAAGAGAGGATCGAATAATCCCATAGCCTTAACGATGTGGTTCGAACGGTCGGATAGGCATAATCAACTGTGCAATAGATGTTTATTATGTATGCGCTCATCTTCAATTGAATATGCTTGTTAAAACCATTTGTAATTTTTTACAATTTCTCACTGTATTATTCATCATGAAAACTCTATTATTATTATTGTTATTACTATTATTATTATTATTATTATTATTATTATTATGTTATTATTATTATTGTTATTATNTATTATAATTATTTAATTTTTAATTTAACTTTGATATGCAATACAATTATACTAAGATGTGATATTTTTCCTATTTTATTTAAGGCACGAATGAAGTAACTTTTTTTTCTGCTCTTTTATTGTTAGATAAACCTGTACCCCCTCCCACTCCCAACCTTGTAGCTGTCTCTGATGAGAAGCCGTCACCACTTATCCGACCTATTTATCAACAACTGCAGGGCTGTTAACGATCGTGCTCTGCCTCTTGTTGAAGTGAAGCACTAGAATAAAACTTTCTTTAATACTCTAATACTTTCTTTTAAACAATCATTTTTGTGACGATCATTAGGATCCGATTAGCATTGAGAACTGTTTGGACTCTTGTTTTTCAAAACAAGTTGAAAGACGAGTATTGAGACCTATTTAAATATATGTTGCTTTACTGATCTCAGTACCTTCATAATTACCAGATTTGATGCATACCTTGTGATACATGTGACCAATTTGACACGTACGTTAAGGCAAACCTTGAGATTTCCTAAAAAATACGTTATAGGACATAATATAAGACCAGATTTGAGATGAAGTGTTTGACTTTTTTTGAAACCTTTTACATGACTAGTTCTAAGAAAATTTTTGAGACCTTGTTTGAGACTTATCATTAAACCAAATTGAAGGCGAACCATAAGAGAAACATTAAAATTCATTTTCAGATTAATATTTTTATGATATTTAAAAATATCTAACTACCAAATTTAAGACAAGAGATGAGACCTAATATCCGACCAGTTTTTAAAGTAACTAAAACAATTTTTTAGAACTATTTGAATACTGCTGTCATAAAACGTTCAATACATATTACTTGTTCCAACACATTGTAATATCAATAATGAGAATGTTTTCTGGATGTACTTGTAACCGGTTCAGAGACATGAATCAAAATCTTTTGAAAAACGCTATTTTTTTTAGGTCCCAATGAAATAATAGGCTTTTTTGTGATTTTGTAGTTTGTAATTACTAAACGAATGTTGACATATGTTCAAGTCTTTTTAATAGAATTTTATAGTTTCATTCAGACATAAGACAAAAATCAAAGCCATACTTTTAGCCAGGCTTTGTAAAAGACATTTATCCAGACTTCAAGCCATACTTTCTGCCAGACATTCAACAAGACTTAGAGCCTGACTTCCAGCCACACATTCAGACTTTTAGCCAGACATTGAGAAAAACGTCAAGTCAGGTATCTCGTTGTACGTACTGCCAGATTTAAGACCAGGCTTACAGCCAAACTTCTGGCCTGTCATTCAGCCATACTCTCTGTCAGACTTTTAGCCAGACTACCAGCCAGACTTTTAGCCA